AAATAGTCTATTTAAGTTTTTATTCAAGAGCGTGTTTATTGTTACTAGCGTGAATGGGTAAGCTTTGTTTGGACAAAGAGCTGTTATCACTGTAAACAATATTAAATTATTCTTCTAATGCTCAGTTCATCTTTTGAAAACAACTATTTTTTGATTTGAAAAAAAAAATCATGCCATTTTCCCATCAAAATCCAAGCCAAAAGATTGTACTACAACATCGGCAAATCTCTTCCGCTTTGTGTTCAACATATTTAAATGAGCTATGGTGATTTGAACACGTTGGCATCCTCCAGCATTTTGATTGGTTAATTAGCGATTTGACCTTTTAGCTGAACTCATGCAAGAGAAACATGGCGGATACCCTACAGCATCGAGCGTTTTATGCGATCGGAATCATTTGCTTACGATGAAACTAAGTTGAATTTTATTTGAATTTCATAACAATTCAACGAATTTATTTTTTGTGCGTTATTATAATCACTACTGACTAATATTCAACAATTGTGAAACGCAGCATGACCGGATTGCGCAACCATGATCATTTGGGGCTACTACGCCAGTTGTGTTCGTTTTTCCATGGTTTTTCTTTGAAACTTCGTTGAGAATATACTTTCGTTATCAATAAAATAAAAACAAATGTATTTGAAAAATGACACTGGGCGACATTGTAATGAAATTTCAGGCAGTCTACTTTTTAATTCAGCAAGAATTATTAATTATTGTTAATTCTGCAATAGTTTCTTTCGTCTTGGGTGGCCCAACTGACGGTGTTGAAAGTCTGCATAGTTAGATACTTCAATGATGAAAATGGAAGTCCCCAAAAAATATTTGATGATTATTTTTTGAAATTTTGAGCCCAAAATAAGTGCCCACCAGCCGTGAAATCCCCAGGGCGATTTTTCGGATGGCGAATTTACGGCAGAATATAAAGAAAGTATTATTATGGACATCTGGCCTATATTGCCGATGTTTTATACTGTTTGTAGTTTGCATATGAAAGTGGATGCCCTCCTATTATTCGACGTCGTTGACAATGCGATAACAATGCCACTCGCACTGTGCACATTTTAGCGCTAGATCTAGTGGCATTTTAGCACTAGATCTAGTGCCATTTTAACACTAGATCTAGTACTTTTTCGGATTAGTGCTAGTAGCACTAACCACTCGCACTACGCCCATTTCGACACATTTACATACATGCATACATGCATACACACATACAGACACACTAACTGCAAAGACTCCCATTTTGTGCTTCGCACATGGGAGTCAAAAATTAGCTAATTATCATGCAAATTAGGTAATTAACGAGCATGGATTTTTACCAAAACCTAATCAAATCTGCGCATTGGCCCAGAGCATCTATGCACCAAGTTTCATCAAAAACCGATGTATGGTTCTTGAGATA